ATTGCCTGTCATGCCTGAGGCCTGCAGTATATCACTTAAGATTTAAAAGTAAAAATCCAGAGGGTAGGAGAAAAAAAAAAAAAACCCACCCCAAACAAAAACCTACCTTAAAGGTTTGGGGGAAAAACCTTTGTTTCCCCATTCTCCACTTAATTGACGGGATCCGCACCACCACCGCGATGCCCATTTTTAAAAGTGTCAAGAGGCAGTCAGCACCCAGGTGGGCTTGCAGCATGGTTTCTGTGGCCCGGGCAGTTAGTCTGGTGGTGCATATCCCTTACATGTCTGCCTTGGACAAATTAAAAAAAAAAAAACTCTGACCTTAGTCATTCTAACATGAAGGCAACATGCCCATGTTAATTTCTCCAATTTTTGCATTTACTTTTCTCACAAAAACAAAAAACCCTCAACCAAGCCGTGTATTCTACGCTTTAAAATTAAAACATTTTGCTGACCGGGCATGACAGCTAATGGACGGTATTAAGCAAGATTCATTTAAAAAAATACAAACGACCTTCCCACCCACCCGAATATACCTAACATGCTAGTTAAAAACAACAGCCCTTACCCTCCCACCCTCTCACCTGCATTGAATTTAGGGGAAAAGAAGAAAAGAAAGAAATCTTACTGTCCTAGAAACAAGAACACCCCAGAAATGTGAAAAATCCTCCTCTGAAAAGACAACTACACAGACTGCTAGAAACACAAAGAACTATTCCAGAGCTGGTTATTTAAAGAAAGTAAACACTTTGCTACACACATTAACATTCAGTCAGTGTGCTCTGAGATAGAGCCTTAAGAAAAATACTACCTGAGCTTGTAAGTTAATACAATCATTAAAAGGAGGTCTACGACCATGTGGATACACAAAACTTTTAGAACCATTACTGGTTAAATGATGATGGAAAACATCCCACCAGGCTGGCTTGTTAACCCGTAAGATCGGTTTTTAAAATAGGCATCATTGAGGTATTTCTTCACCATGACATTTATAAACCAAATTCACAATAATGACAGTGGTCTTAAGGATGCTCCCTTCCAACCAAAACAAAAATTAAGCGAGGGGGGAAGAGAGGTGGAGAGGCAATACAGTATATCATGGTAATGTGCTTCTCAACTTTATCAAGTATTTAATAAACAAGCAAAGGAAAAGAATAACCCGTCAAAGAACATGTTACCTTTGGTAGGGGGAAAAAAAAAAAACACAGAAGAGCAACACACACACTTCACCATCACTGCTCAGTAAGACAGTGATTGCTGCAATGCCATGGTGAGGGACATCCTGCTGGGTCCAGAAAGGGTACAAATACAATCACGAGGTCTCAAGGATGTTCATTCCTTTCCAATAGGTGATGTTCCCAACTAGACCCTTAGAATTGCTCCTAAAAGGGTGTATTTTCAGACATTCAAAATACAGATATTTTTTCTCTTGAAGAGAAAAAAAAAAAAAGACCTAAAGGTCTTCATTTGCAGATAAGTCCTCAAAAAGGTCAGATGAACCCGTGGTTTCAGAACACTGAACAACGTGGTAACGGTGTGCATAACTCCTGGTGGGGGAAAAAAGCCAGATTGGTAAGAAATACTTGGATTTATGACTACATTTGTCTGTATAGGACTATTTGGTTTCAAAGTTTCTTTTCCAAGGTCAATCAGACGCTTCTCCTGTGAGAAGTCAGTTCTGGATTTATGAAAACATTTTCTTCTCGAGGTAGCTCTCCACTCCTACCCACTCCCCGGTGGATTAATACTATTCAGAGACCCGTCAGATACTAACATGAGGTAGATGACTTTCACCAAAAGTGAGGTAGAAACTAAACAAAAGCAGATGGTGTGGGATGGAGTGGTTGGTGTGTGTGTCCTGTGCCCTGGCCCACAGGCAGCCCAGCCCAGGGAGGCCAGAGCGCCTCAAGAGGGCCAGGCTCCACGATTCCATCACACGCAAGTACAAGACTATGACTTTTATACAGCCCCAGACTGTTGGAAACTCAGTAAGAGTGATGTTTTAAATAAATACTTTTTGGCACCATTGGATTTCTTCTTTTTTTAAACAGAAAAACAAGCCTATAACTTTGGCATATCTTTCACTATCTACCAGAACACAGCAATCTTAGAATCTTCCAAAGAGGAAGACAACACACATACAACAGTATTCTGCTGCTTCAAGCCCAGAAGACCTCCTGCCTCCGATCATTAAGCTTTGGCTTAACTAGAATAAAGCAGACTGAGCCAATCTCATGCTATTCTCTTACAGCCCCATTACAAAGTGCCTTCCATCTGGCAACTTTTTTTTGGCCCAGCGCGTAATTTAGATTCCGTTTATGGTACCCTTGTAGGTGTTTCCCCGACTCCCCAAATAAGTTAGACTTAAAAGGGCAACCATCAATCAAAGAGTTAGTGCACTTGGGGGTACTGTTTGGGCCACTGGGCTCCAGCCAACTTGCATGCCACCTGCCAGCCACCACACAGCACAGGTTCTCAGACAGCATTGCTTCTCGTGACCAATTTCACAGAGGAATTATTTCAAAAACAAAAACAAAGCCACCATAACGAAAAACAGTAACACTTCTGAAACGTTAAGTTGGTATCAACCAAAAGTGGCTTGTATCTGTGGGTTATTTAGATTTCCTTTAGCCATCTCAATATCCAAACCTATACATCCAAATCCAATTGGCATCTCAAACCATATACTGACCTTACACCTCACCCCACCCCCTGACCAGATCAGACATACCTGGGGACTATTGTCTCAATATCACATTTCCTCAAGAGAAACATTTTATCCTCCTCCCTCACAGCACCCAGGACCTTATCTTTTCACCACGTTAAAGACACCCTCTTTGACCCAATTCCTGCTACCCTAGCATCACCTCATAATGGGCAGGAGATACGCATTGATAAACACTTGTTATCTCTCACACTAGGGAGGTCCAAATGCTGGCTTTTCTCATCTCTCTTCCACACTGTACAAGAAGCACACTCTGGAGGTGCTTTGCACCAATCCCTGTGGGTCAGCAGTCAATCTGGGGCAGCCACAGATGGCAATATTTTAAAAACAAAAGCTTCCCAAGTGTGACCATGTTTCTCAAATGGCAGCGATGCACAACTTTGGGTGCAGAAAACGTAAGGAGACGTACCTTCTACAGAGAGTAAAGCGGCAGTTATCACCCAGAGACACGTTCATTTCAAGGAGGGGACCTGGTTGCCTTAAGCAGGCAAATTGAATAGTCTATTAAGCCCTAATCATTTTAGCCACATGTGGAAACCCTGGCTTTACAACCAGATCCACAAAAAAATGTTAAATAAGCAGCTCTGGTTGCTGCTACTCACCATGAAAATTTCTCACTCAGGTTCCAATATTTCCCCACATATGGGGAAACTGGGAAGGAAAGGTTAAGAGTGAAGATGATGAAAATGAAGACAGAATAATCAAAGGTATTGACTACTGGAAAAAACTTAGCTTAGCCATAATCATGACCTGAGTTTCTGAGAACATTTTAAAGAATTTAAGATATTTTTTTTCAATTAAAATTTTTTTAATCATTTAAAACCAGTTGTCTTTGGTGTTTAAAGGGGGATTATTTAGGGGGCAGGGGGATTGAGAGGAGGAGGTTCAGCACCAAGTTATTCCAAAATAAAAAACAATAAAAATATTTAATTACGTGATCTCTTTACCAGTCAAAGAACTTCGAACTTAGGGGCAACATAAAAGGCAACTGAATAGGAATTAGAGATGGATTCACTATTAGAGAGGGAATGACTACTAAATTCTTCAATAAAAGAAGAAATGCTTTTACATAACAAGATCCCCTGGCACCTTCCCACCCTGAAACACAGCAGCTGGGCAACAGCAGTTTGAAACTACTTTCCAGTTTTTGGATCCTTTATTGCATGTGGTTCTCCTTTATGCAACAAGGTTTCCCCCATCTTGGTCACTCAGAAACCCCAGAACTAAAGCAATGGGAAGACACAGGGGACCATGAAGTGGTAAATTAAATGTCCAAAAGAGCTGGATGGGAAAAGCAGTTTGATTGGCTTGCTACACTGGTCCCCATCATCTCTTTTTATTTTTTTGGGGGGGGGGATGACAAAAACAATCTATCCACTTGTTAGTCTGTTCGTTAAAAACTCTATCCATATTGCAAGAGGAATTTCTCTTAAATACAGGGATAGAAACTGATCTGTTAGTCTTCCAGTTTAAACAAGAAGTGTCCTGGAAGCCACTGCCATCTGAGAGCACCTCTTTCTCCTGTGGTGCTCTGGAATTTGGTTCTCATTTCAGTATCTGAAAGACAGTTAACGCCCAGAAGCACAAGGTTCTGCACCCAAGTCCAGCTTACGACAAACCCACCCTGTAAAGTGACGGATGCCATCCCATGTTTCTGCAGTGGGAGCCTGGCTTAATAAATTTTCATTCTTTGGTACCGAGATACAGGTTGAACAAGAGGTTTCAGTTCCTATACGTTTTTCCGGTTGGGGCAACGTGGTTTACAAATCCTTTACATTCAAAGGCCTTTAGGGGGAAAATTCACGTTTACCATGCTCCATGGCTTGGGAGCAGACCACTCTGTAAAAGTGACCCGAGAAGAGGGTGTGGGGATGGGCTGTTCCCATAAACTTGACTTTAAAACATTCTATTTCCCTGAACTTCCAAAGCAGGAAAAAATTGTGCTTTTAAAACAAAAGTTCATTCCTTTGCCTACTCTTCTTAGGAAAAGAAATGCCTAAGATTAAGAGAACAACATTCAACTGCAGTCTGGGGGTCCCTTGCCTGTGTCTCATGCTCTCTGCTGACCAACTCAGCACACGCGTGCCCATCCACCCTCTCAATGTCCACACGCCACATGCCTGAAAATCCTCTTTCTGAGAAGGAGGGTAATTTTCTTCTTCTACTTAATTCTTTATAACCAACAGCAAACTAAAAACACAACTTCTGAGAATACTTTTAATCAAAAATCCTGAACTACATTTATTTTTCAGAAACCAAAGTGTGAAAAGAAAAAGTTCTTTGGGAGGTGGTATAGCATTTTTACTATTTTGGTGTAAGGTGGCTTCACACCCACACATACATACACACACACGCACACACACACACACACACACACACTCCCTTAGAAGAAACAAAGATTGCATACCCTAAGATAGGAATGGTCTGCTTTTCTTGGCTAGCAAGCCACAGCCACTTCTTCTAGGAATAAGAAAAGATACTGATGTTGAACGGGTTGAGAAACACACTGAGGTATAAAAGAACACAGGAAGTTCACTGTTGCAGCATTAAAAAAAAAAAAGATTTTCCCCCAAAAGACCAAGATCACCACACAGCCTAACCCCATAAACACAGTATTCTCAAGAACACAAATACTCTACAATTAAGCATCTTAAATCCCATTTTTCCACGTGTTATAGTTTTTTTTTCTTTTTAACTTAGTAGTTTTCTCGTGTTTGCTTGGCTCAATCTATAGAATGCACCCCACCGCACACATCCAGCACCCTCCCAGCCAGAGATGCTAGGCTTGTGCATGTCACGCCCCACGGAGGGGAGAGGAAACGTGAACTCCACTGAGCGAGGGTGGGAGGGCAGAGGGCCTGTTGGAGAAGGAAATGTAAAGGTTTCTGAGGTAGATAGAGATCATCACTTCACAGGCTCAATCCCTGCAGAAAAGATACGTACATTCATCTGTAAAAAAATAAAGATGAGGTAGGACATAAGCAATGTTGTACTTTTCTTGTTGTCTTTAAACAAAATTTAAAAAAAAAAAAAAAAAAAAAGGAATTTCCCTGAGACGGTTTCTTCTTTGAATTTCAAAAGGGGGAGAGAGAGAGAGACGTACACACGCGCACCCCAAACACAGAAGCCTAGGAATGTGATTAGAAGATGAGGATTCGATTGTTGCCAAAGTCCACCACGACAATCATCCCATCCGGCGTGACAGCGATGCCGGAGGGCCGGTCCATCTGCCCAAAGCCACTGCCCTGAGCGCCAAACTTGCACAGGAAGCTGCCGTTGGACTCGAACATCTGCACCCGGTGGTTCCTGGAATCGGCCACGATGATGCGCCCCTCCTGGTCCACGGCCACGCCCTGTGGGCGCAGGAACTGCCCATTGGCGGTGCCCTCTGAGCCCAGGAAGCGGGCCGACTGGCAGTCTGGGTGAATGACCAGGAGCCGGTGGTTGTTGAAGTCGGTGACCACCAAGTGGCCCTCGTGGTTGAAAGCCACCCCCCTCGGGGAGTCAAAGTGCTTCCAGAGAGCCCCCTCGAAGCCATACTTATTCAGGAAGACCCCATCGGGCCCGAACAGCTGGATCCGGTGGTTCCGCGTGTCGGAGACCAGGATCTTGCCCTCGGAATTCACCGCCACATCCCAAGGGTAGTTAAATTGCCCGTTTTTGGTGCCCTTCTCACCGAACTTGAGGAGGAACTGGCCCTCAAAGGTGAAGATCTGGATGCGATGATTGTCCTTGTCGGCCACCACGATCCTGCGGGAGGTGTCACAGGCTACGCCGGCAGGCCGGTCAAACTGCCCGGGCCGGGAGCCCAGAGTGCCGAACTTGTGGTGGAAGGCGCCACAGGGCTTGAACACCTGGATGCGATTGTTGCTGCGGTCAGCGACCACGATGTAGCCCTCCTTGTCCACGCTCACGCCCCAGGGCCGGCACAGCTTGCCATCGCTGTCGCCCTCACTGCCGAAGCTCAGGCCCGGGAGCCCGATGCCCACGTAGCTGCGGCCGGACTTGACCACCACCTTGAAGGGGCTGTTCTCGATGTGCTGGTTGCACAGGGTGACCGATACCAGGTGCTCGCCCTCCAGCTGCGGCCGGTAGCTCACGACGTATGTCCCGTTCTGCTGGTCGCTCACCTCCGCACCAAACAGGTTGCCGTCAGGGCCCAGGACCACAGCCGACATGAGGTCGCCTCCTGAGAGGCGGGGCTCCCCATCATGGTCGTAGCCGATGACAGTGAAGGAGGCCACCTTGCCCTGGAGGGCCCGCTTGAGGCCGTCGCCCGTGGCCTTGGTGAGCGGCGCGAAGGCCCCGCTGCTGACAAAGCCGAAGGACTTGATGGCGAGGTAGAGGGCCTGGTCAGGGGGTGTGAACATGACCCGGTCGTCCTCCTGGGGCTGCAGGAGGCTGCGCACGGTCTTGAGCTCCTGCACCTGCGCCAGCATGCGGTCTCGGGCCAGCAGGATGTCCAGCGCCCGCCCCTCCTCCAGGACCTGCTGCACGGCGCTGATGGTGCTCTCCAGCTTGTTGAGGTTTTGCCGCAGCTTCTCCACCTGCAGGTACAGGGACTTGGCTTTCACCTGGCGGATTTTCTCTACCTGGAGGGAAAGGTGAGAGCCGGGAGAGAGGACACAGAGGCTTAGAACCAAGACAGAAAACAACACATCGGCTGACATACTCATAAATGAGGGAAACCTCGCACCGAGGGAGGGTCTGCAGAAACGTCTGGTCTGCATTCCCCCAAAGTGGCAAAATCCAAAGGCAGAGGAGGCTGGGGAACTGTCCCTGATCACAGGAGATGACTACAGAGACCTGACAACTAAACGCCAACAACTGATCCTGGATTGGGAGGACACTGCCATTAAACACACTAGTGGTGGGATGTCCCTGATGGTCCAGTGGTTAGGACTCTGTGCTTCCACTGCAGGGGGTGTGGGTTCGATCCCTGGTCAGGGAACTAAGATCTTACAAGCCGTGCATGGCCAAAAAAAACTCAAAGCAAACCAAACCAAAGCAAACCAAACCAACCAACCAACGAACCAAACAAAAACACCAACCCACTACTGGTGAAATGTGACTACAGACTCAGGATTAGGTACTGGTGTTGTATCAAGATTCGACTTCCTGGTTTTGGTTAACTGTGATTAAGAGAATATCCTTGCTCAGAGGAAATAAACTGAAACATTTAGGTGTAAAGGGGCAGTGTCTCCAACACTCCAACTTACTGTCAAATCACACACACACACTCACCTATTGAAAGAGAATGATGAAAATGGGACAAGATGTAAATAATCAGTGAATCTGGGTAAAGGATACAAGGGGCTCTTTTATTATTCCTGCAAATTTTCTCTCAGTTAGAAATTAAATAGAAGTTAGAAACAGCCGTGTAACAAAGAAACGTTTACTGAGCACCTACACTGTGCCAGGTGCTGGAGGTACATGTGGCCCATAGAAAACATGGGCCCCGCCCCACTGAGCTTAGAGTTTAAAGCAACAGATACTAAGCAAGCAAAGAAATACTGCAAGACAATTTCAGACAGTGCTGGGGTTAGAGGGTAGAAAAAGAGTGTGACAGACAGTGACGAGGGAGGCCTGATTTAGACAGAGGGTTGTCAGGGACAGGTGGCCTTGAACGTGGAGAGAAAAGTGGCAGAAAGGGGACCAGAGGAAGGATAGACCAACGGACTGTACTACAAGGCTGGTCATGCACTCCCAACACACTGAATCGAAAATGCTCCTACGTACAGAGGGCCTAAAGTCTCCTGAAGGATATTTCTCTCTCAGCCTCTCTCTCAGCATAAACACACACACACACACACACACACACACGTAATCAGAGACAGAAAGCCTGTGTGTGGAGAGAATAAAATGAAGGATTTGGCGAGGATCAAAAACCTGGCTCTTTCCTTGTCCCGTTTTCTCTCTTCACAGGGGTTAGAAATCTTCATCAGGGAGCCTGAGAGGTCCCACACCCCAAATTTGGAGATACCAACTTTTTAGCAACTGTTGGCCTGTATTATTTCCAAAGGGGCCTCTAAATTCAAAACACCGTGATGTGTAAACACAGGTTCTGACCTGCTTCGGACTCAGATCACACTATTAGGGAACGTGGGATTTTTGTCTGCCTGATCAGTCAGTTCTCCATTCTTTTGCAGGAAATAACTCAGTCCTCTAAGTTTAAGTGGTTTCCTCTGAAAAGAACAGATCAGTCGCCCAGCCAGTGCGTGCTGTTTTGCAGAGAGGACCATGACTTCTGAGTCCTTGACCGATCTGAAAGCCACAGAAAGTCTACTTCAGAATAAGGGTCCACTGTTGGAAGGGCTGGATTTTAATCCGATTTTCCCGTGGGGGGTGGATAACATGATTCTGGACCTGATTCATGTGTATTCATCTGTCCACTCTGGAAGGATGTGTGTGTGCAGAGAAGCCCGTGTGGGGACAGATCAAAGAGAAGCTCTGTCGTTTGGTTTTGTACTGGGCCAAACCTCTCGGCCTCGATTCTGATCCCTCAACCGGATAGTTGCAGCTACCCGCCAAGAGGCAGCCATGTCCACTGGAAATGCACAAGCTACAAGAAAGGACATGCATCCAGATACCTATAACTAGGTCACCCAGTACTCAAGTTATCTCCAATAACCAGGATGCAAGAAAAAAAACAACGCCACTGTGTAACAAGGAGGTGCCCAGACAGAGCCAGGCAAGAGGGAGCAGAAAAATCAGTGATTAGTGAAGAAGAAGGGGGACTCCCACAGGATCTGGGGCGTGGTACCCCAGCAAAAAAAGCAAGCACAAATGGGACTAAGGCGTGTCCAGAATGAGCAGGCTGATTTTGGATTTATCCAAGAATGAGTTTTTAGGCAAGTAAAAACAAAATTGATAACATGAATAAGAGACTGACTGTCCTTCCCAATTTGCTTCTCCTACGGTAAAAAAAAAACGTGCTCTCTATTCCTCCTGAAAGAGAACTGCCTTGAGAGAGGTCCTCAGCCCCACCGGAGGGAGGGTAACTAAGGTGAGATCTGCAGAAACCCCTGCACACAAAGGCCTTTTCATCAGCAGATCCAGCAGAGCAAGTTTGTGGCAGAGTTCACCACAGAGCTCTCAGGTTGCAAGGAGGGGGCCCCTTTCAGTTATAATTAACATTCGTGGGTGGCATGGGACTGGCAGACCTTGGGGACATCGGAGGGTCTGAAAACTGTGTCAGGCCCACAAAGGTGCCTGAACAAATCATGTGAATTAAATCTTGGACTGTTTCCATCCAAGGACTCTTCTCTTCTGTCAAAAGGCAGTAGAGAGTCAGAAGAAGCAGAAAGCAGCTAGATACAGAGCTAACTCAAAGGAAGAGGCAATGCAAAAGCCCACACAGCCTTCCCAAAGGCCAATACAATTTACTCTTTTAGGGGACAGGAAATTGGCGAGGATCACTTTCAGAAATCGACATGCGGTCCCCACCATCATATAGTTTGCAGTGAGCCAAACAAGCACCACACACTCAAACACACCCGTTCACATCAGCTCTGTATAGTCTTGCTTCTGGGTTCAGAGAAGGTGATCCCAGTTGAACTGGCGTGAGGTACTGGCCCCTCTTAGGCACGCTGCCCTCTTCTACCTGAGTGAGAGCGCAAGATCAGAGAAGAAAATGCTGCGGGGGATGTGGGCGGGGCGAGTCATCCCTCCAGCTGATTTTATCTAAACAGCACACCAGCGCGCTCAGCGCTCTTTCCGGCTCCAACAGGAAGAAAGGGCACTCGCTCACTGCCCCCACAAGTGGAAAACTGGTTTTCCACAAGGGGTCAGGAAGTCCAAACAGCCGGGACACCAAAACTAAGGACGTGTGTTAGCAGCCTGCTTTCCTAACAGCAGTCTCCATTGTATTCCCTTCTTTCTGCTTCCACCTGAGTGCCTGCAATAGAAAACTTGAGACTCTGTCCAGTCTCGGGGACCTGACCGCTTCTGAAAAGGCTTCTTGTCGTCTTACTGCTCGGAGGGGGACCCCTGCATCTTTCTGCAGACAAACTTAGGAGAAAACTACCAAGTGTTCTAAACTCAGAGCCGGGATCCAGGGTGTGACATCAGCATGCTGTCACCCTGCTGTGGTTCAGAGGCCGTGCCGGCCACCGAGGAGCCCAAGGGTGGGGTGGGCGTGCAACACCCCCCCCACGTTACCTTCCACAGCAGCTCACACTCCCGCTCCTCCAGGGCCTTCTTGTGTCTCGCAGTCACGGCTTTGACCTCCGACTGTACCACTTTTGCCTTCATCTCCACCTGCTCTGCCACCGTCTGGGCCTGCTCGATGCTCAGCTGGAAAACCAAAAACAATCTCAGAGCAAGAGAAGTACCTTCCCTCCTCACACGCAACACTTAAGGCTGCTTTCTTCAGCCCCGAAAAACTAACGCCTTAGGCCCCCAACCCAGACCTCGAGGTCCACGTCCTTGGAAAGAAAGCAGGCACTGGGGGAGAGAAGGGCATCTGTTTGACATGTAACTGAAGGAGCTGCTTGGCAAGGGCTGCATTTCTTTGTATAAGAAATGGCACCTACAAAGTGAATGTCAGGACTATTAAGAGATAGTCTGACACAGTGAAACCAGTGTAGCTGGGTCACAGCCCAAAACAGACTGGGGATCAGATGTGAAATGTTCTACTGCAGATGCACGAGCAACTTTCCACAGACTTTCCGGCCAGGCTCCCCACCTGGGGGAAATCTCGCAGGCTGGGCACATCCCTCGGGAGAACGTGTGCAACAGGCTGCAGCCCAGCTCAGAACCAACACCAAGTGCAAACTGGGAAACAGTGTCTGATGCACCTGAGAAGCCCTGCCTATGGCCAGAGACCACCTCTGCACCCCCAGGGCCCAACCCTGTACCATCAGCCCCCGTAAATCAGCCCGTTTAATCAGACGTATGATTGTTCATAAAAAATTAATCCAGACAGAGGCCTGGTGTTTTCATGAATATTACATGATGTGCCTTGAAAAGCCACAAGGATTGGAGACACTGAGGTATTAAATCAGGGAGTTCAAACTGATTGCCAATGCTGCAACAGGCTTCAGAGCAGGTGTCCCAGATCAGGAGGGACCCAGGGAAGCCTCAAGGGTTTAGAACCTGCCTGGGTTCAGGAATCAGCTACAGGTGACCAGTCTTCTGTGTGCCCTGCAGAGAACGATTTCTGGGACACGAAACACATCTAAGGCGGGCACAGTCCTGGACAAGCCAGGCCGGATGGTCATCCTAGGGCTCAGGAAACCCAGGTTCAAATCCTAGCTCCACCTCCTACCAGTTCAGACAAGCTCCTGCCCTTCTCCAACTTCGGAGTGAAAGTGAGAAAAATGCAGGACAATATATGGGAAGAGCTGAGTCCAGCCCCTGGTCATCCTCTCCCCTCATCCTACTTAGCTCGCATCATACAGATAGGCCTATTCACACTTCCTACCTTGTTTTGTTTTTAAATTGTAGTAATAAAATACAGGCAGCATAAAATGTCCCATAAGTGACATTCAGCACATGCAATGTGGTGCAGTCACCACCATCTGGCTCCAGAACACCTCTACCCAAAACGAAGCTTCCCACGCCTGTGAAGCAGTCACTCTCCATCTCCCCTCCCTCTCCCCCACAGCATGCATAACCTACAGTCTCTACAGACGTGTCTATCCTGGATATTTCACACAAATGGAATCAAACAATACATGACCAGCCTTATTTTCATGAATATGCTCCCGGCTAATCAGCTATGACTCATTCAGTCACTTACAACTGGGACCCCTAACTGACCACCTTTCTCGCTCTCAGTCTGATGACAGCTGCTCACTGCACTCCCTGCCCCCATCCCCGTGAGGCCTAAGGATCCACTGAGCGGATAGGAGCTGGCACCTGGCCGATCTGGGTGGCTCACAGTTTGGCCTGGGATGCTTTCTCTTCCAAAGTCACCCTAAAACCTCAAAACCTAGCTCAGATGCCACTTCTTCTCTAAAATCGGAAGTAAAGGACACCTATCCACAGTGTTTCCGTTCCATCTTTACTATCCTGTCCCAAGTGTCATTACAGACTGAACTAAGGTGGGCCAGGTACACAGTGCACGGTACTTAGCACTGGGTTCTAACAGGAACAATCTATACATTTTATACTTGCTCGTGTCTACGGCCATAAACCGTGTCCTATCAAAGCACTACATAACTGCACTGGGTTAAATATCGTCCTGCCAAACTTCAGGCGTGCCTGCAACTTCAGAACGTGGTTAAGATGAGGTCATATTGGACTAGGGTAAGTCCTAAATGCAGTGACTGATATCCCATAGGGCCATGTGAGGATGGAGGCAGAAAATGGAAGTAAGGCAAGTACAAGCCAAGACGTGCAGACCACGACCCGCAAGAAGAAGCGAGGAAAGGTTCTTCCTTAGAGGCTTCACGTGGAGCACAGCCCTGCTGACACCTTGATTTCTGACTTCTATCCTCCAGAATCGTGAGAAAACAAATTCCTATTGTTTTAAGTTACCCAGTTTATAGCAGCCCTAGGAAACTAATACAGTAGCCAACAAGTTGAAATAGATGGCTGTATCCAAATTACCCGAAACACAAAAAAGTTAGACTGACGGGCTTCCCTGGTGGCGCAGTGGTGGAAAGCCCGCCTGCCGATGCAGGGGACACGGGTTCGTGCCCCGGTCCGGGAAGATCCCACATGCCGCGGAGCGGCTGGGCCCGTGAGCCATGGCCGCTGAGCCTGTGCGTCCAGAGCCTGTGCTCCGCAACGGGAGAGGCCACGACAGTGAGAGGCCCGCGTACCGCAAAAAAAAAAAAAAAAAGTTAGACTGACGGATCAAATAAGTGTGCATGTAAGCAGATACCATAACAGGGTGTCTCGGGCTGTCTGTCAGGATTAATTCAGAAGAAGAGAAACCTCACTAGACATTTAAGCAGAGACGATTTAATACAGGGAATTTGGTTAAACGGGAAGCGGGGAACTGCTAATGCAAAGGGCACACTGATGATTAAGACAGACTGCAATAACTGCAGTCAGTAGCTACTACCCCTTGGGCTCAGAGAACAAAGAAAGTAGGGGTTACCAGGACCCAGAAGTATGGGGGAGGGGCACCCCAGGCCCAGCTCATTCTGGGAGTGGCAAAAGCTAGAAACTGGAACCAACTTCTGCTGCCAGGGTAAAAAAATACTGCTGATAAGAACAGGAAGTCAAAAGGAAGAAGCAAGTCCCTTCTCCCCACTTCCAGGCACGTGGTTTGAAATGAACACTGCAGCCCCAGCCTCACACTGCACGACTGTGAAAGGGTAGGTTGGTAGGTTATTAACCGGTACACCCTGTTTTCAGATGTGTTGGTTATTAATTAGCACAGAGCTGGTATCCACATCAGTGCCTGACTGAGGCAACCAAGCCTATGTCCACAACATTTCTTTAACGCTTCCTCGATGGAAAGCAAAGGCCACAAACTGCCTTCTATTTATATTAACATCATATTACTTGACCAAACTGAATTTCCATTAAAATCAGAAGATATGGAAATAACAGGTACACATTCCTACAGGGCAAGGACTGGCCGGAGAGCAATGACCATCCCCTCTGCATGCACAGCCAGTGTCTGCTCGCCGCCTACCCTCCTAGCCAGGCTGCTCCTACTGTTTCCTCCTAGGTCCCTAGCAGGCCCTTGTGTTAACTCCCATCCTATGACAGGAACTATTTCTTCCATTTTCCAAATAGGTCAAAGGGGAGCAAAGCTCTGGCTATAATTTGAGTCATTCCCATTCCTAGAGTCATAAAAGTCCTATGTGAAGAGACCAAATGGAGCTTTCCTCTCCAAATCCTATACAACACCCCGGCAAGCACTGCATTCCAAGACATGCAGACCAGGACCTGCTTAACTAGTTCCCATTATCTAAGCAGGGCATTTGAAGGACGCCAAGAGGCAGGTGGGTTGGGGGAAAACGGCAGTGGGTAAAAGGGCTGGGGAAACTCTGAAAACAGAAACATTTGCAAGAAAGAAGGAGAAGGAAAGAAAGGAAGGAAAAAGGGAGGAAGGGAGGGTGGGTCACCTAACAAGCATGGGGGCTTGAGAAAAAATGTTAACTTCAAATGTTAACAGATTCAATCAAACACTCGAAGTTGAGGCAAGTCAGTGATGCCATTTGACTGCTGAGTGGTGGCCACTTAGTACTGAGGAGGAGTCTAAGGCCAAATCTGGGTTTCACAGGGAAGGGTGCAGAAAGTGATTTAGTGATGTCTGCCATGGAGAACAGTGGTGGCCTGATGACAGGTATTTAAAGTGTCCTGATAGAAGATACTAGAGAATGCAAGTGTCACCCGTAAGCTCAAAGGCCACCATACCGGTACCAGATGGGGGAATTACTGTAGTTCACTCTGAAATGTAATTTTTATCACATTTAATATCTTTGAAACTGTGATTCATCTTAACACTGTCAGTGGGCTTTTTCCCTTTGTTAGCTGTATATAAAATAAATGTGCATATCTTACAGTTAATGGCATCTTAAATGTGATGAAAGAAATACAAGTAACGAATCAAGGCTGTCTTACATGGAGAGCAACTATATTCCTGACCCAAACTCTGGATGTCCCCTGGGGAATCTGTGCACCTTTATGAAATCCTCTAATTACATAAGTGACCAAAATGTATTTTCGTCAAGAGTGAAAGTGACTTGGTATCAGATTACTTGACTCATCAGAAAGATCACTTCAGTATCACACATAGGAATGCTGATAGCTGCTGAGAAACTTATTAAAATCCTAAACCACCTGCCCACCCTAGAACACACGATTGATTCTTTACCATTTCCAAGAAGTCTTATGTTAAAAATAATTCATGTATTCAAATACTCGTTCTAAACAGTTTCCTACTCGATTACTTTTTAAAATATTTTTCTATCTATCTATTTATGGCTGTGTTGGATCTTCGTTGCTGTGCGCAGGTTTTCTCTAGTTGCGGCGAGTGGGGGCTATACTTCATTGCAGTGCGCAGGCTTCTCATTGCAGTGGCTTCTCTTTTTGCGGAGCACGGGCTTCAGCAGTTGTGGCACGTGGGCTCAGTAGTTGTGGCTTGCGGGCTCAGTTGCTCCACAGCATGTGGGATCTTCCCGGACCAGGGATCGAACCCGTGTCCCCTATACTGGCAGGAGGATTCTTAACTACTGCGCCACCAGGGAAGTCCTAGCAATGTTTCTTGACTTTTAAGCTTATCCTACCAGATGAGGGAAACAACCTATGATTTTTTTGTCTTCCTAAAACTTTGTCACCTGGATCAGGCAAGAAGATTCAAAAATTAAGGCACACTATTACCTGCCTATGTAAGAGAACTTCACTATATCTCAGAGTTACACGTGTCCCTTCCTAGCCCCAAAGGGATGGAAATTCAACAGAAACAAGGGTCTAAATTACCAGGACGTCTAATGCTTCCAATAGAATAGAATAAAATAGCATGGCATAGCACAGCAATAGCTAATGCTTCCAATAAAACTAAATTAAAAATAAATAAGTAAATAACCATGGCATGACCTTTATTTATCACCCAAGAAAGAGTCTGAGATTCAACCTTAAATAAAATTTCCCAAGCTCACTTATTTCTCACCTATAAACAAATCTGAGTAGCAAGGTGAGCACCCAGTCTTTCTAGAGTCCTGACTGAACACCCTAATATCCACTTGGATTTGGGGAGGCGGCTGGATGGCAAACAGGCAGCTGATGTGAAGGGGTCCAGCCAGGGTATCTGGAAGAAGCCCTGACCGGCCAGTAACTCCAGCCACATCACTGTCATCTTCACCATACCGTGAGGTCTCCGTGCACTGCCCACCCCCATGTGACTGCTGCTGCATGGGTGTCACATGAGCTCATGTGGGTCGTTGTCCCATGACCTCCAGACACTGGAGTCTGCCCAATAATCTACACATGCCATCTGAAAGGGAGTGGTAAAGGTTTTATATGCAAGAAAGAACCAGGGAAACAGGTGAAGGGTGGGGAGGGACTGACCTGGATGGCCTGGCGGCCCTGCTGGGCATCAGCCAGCAGCTGGATGGTGAGCGCCCGTGAGTCCTGCAGCGCCTCCTGGAGGTAGACGAAGCTGTGGCCGCCGTGCCGGCCCACAGTACACTCTCGGCAGATGGGCACTGAGCACGTGTCACAGTACAGGTGCAGCACCTGGGGACCAGAGAGGGCCAGGTGTTAATGACAAGGGGGTGGTGGCGGGGTGCTCTGGATCTCAGGACCCCACAATAAACAAGCACACCGCATAGGAAGCGGGATACCCGCAGGCGACTGTGAGGACAACTTGCTCCCCCCATCCCCACCCAAAGAAAAACAACCAACACACTCATTCTACTCCAGTTCCATTCACAACCACAACTGAGACACCGCAAAGGCAAAGATGAAACAAAATGATCCTCCAAGGACTTCCCTGGGGGTCCAGTGCTTAAGACTCTGCGCTTCCACTACAGGGGGCACGGGTTCGATCCCTGCTTGGGGAGCTAAGATTCCGCATGCCGCTCAGTGTGGCCGAAAAAAAACAGATTAAAAAAATAAAATGTGCTGCTCATCAATTGACCTTAGTAAATGACAATAATTATACAGTCATACGAATAAAACTATTTAAAACAAAAGAAAACAATCATCCTCCATAAGAGATTTCCCTGTATCTGAGATTAATTACCCAGAAAGGTTACAAGATTGTCTCCCTGGTCTGAGATTGGTGGCCGGAATGAAAGGATAAATCGACAAGTTCCTCTTGCACCCCACGCTCTGGGGCGGAAACCAGGCTGGGGGCCAGGATCAATCCCCCTCACACGGCAGTTGGCTGCCACCGTCCCCCCATCAAGGACACAAGCACACCCAAGGCACTCAAGCAAGGTGCGCGCTTAAGCTTCTGGAACAGAGGCCAAAGGCTAATGGTAAAGTCAGCCAGCTTCTTGTCTTTCTTCTTCCTGCCAAGTTGTTCCAAGGAGCTGACCCTGGGAGGCAGCCGGTGCTGACAGCGCTGTTTATACGATGCTCTGTGCCTCCCTGGGGCCCTGCGTGCTGGTGGGGGGGAGCGGCTTGGCACCACCTCCACCTGCTGATAAACCTGCCTGAGAGCCGAGCTCTCAGGAGCCAAAGCTCCTTGGCACAGAACGGGGCCAGTCCCGTTGCATCCCTCCCCAGAGCCGGCACGTAGGGCCGCTGTCTATAAATGTTTGCTGGCTTGCTTTCAAGAGCAGAGCTTCAGTTTGCCTCTGGTACACCTGGGGTGAAGGAAAGCGAGCCAACACTCGACAGGCAGGGAAGGGGCCATGTGTGTGTGTGTGGGGGGGCAGTGTCTTTCACATACACAAGCACTCAATCTCCAGGGGAGGAGGCTGCACAGGGAACAAGGGCTGGTCCCAACGCACGGAAGATGGTTACCCTGTCCAAAGCACAAAGCACAGAGACCCAGAAAGTTCCTATTAGGCTGCAAGTCCCACACAGAAAGGGTCTGGGGCAGAGCGAGAACGCGGCTCCTCTCATTCTCCAGGTTATTTATTTTATTCCAACCAAAGTCTCGGCGTAGTGCGTGTCCACGAGGAAATGACTGTCAGCCAAACAGGCTGCTCCACGTAGGGGGTGTGTGATCCAGCAGGGGTTAGGTTGCTTCTCTGGGAACTCTGGGATCCAGGAATGGAAAAAGGAAAGACTTAGGATATCACGTTCCTACTTTGAAGAAATGGTTGTGATACGGCAAGTTTTCTGGACCCTCTTTTACAGGAGGGAAACGTGATCGGGTTTGTAACGTTAGTGCCGATTTTTGTCCCGTGCTGTACCGTGGGAGACGGAACCCAGGAGGCATCTGCCTTCCTTTGTGAAGGCTAATCACTTTTTGAAGAAGGTCCACCATTTAGAGACTATCTAATCTTTCTCGTTTGATAAATCTAAAATTCCCAAGCCAGCCTTAGATACTAACCGAAAAATGCTAAACTGGGTAAATGTGGGGAAATGCCCCGACACTCTCATTTTACAACATGGTGCTAAAGCAATTCTCCGGCCAGTTTCCACGACTCAACCACATCCCTCCCCTCTGCTCCCTCCATTTGTCACGGGAATAAAGGGATCACTCCTGCTAATGTGAAGTGTGAAAATCTCCTGCCACAAGGCTCCCTGTTCTTACCAAACAGCTAAGCAATCTTCTCTTTACCTCTGCTCAGGAGCTACCTTTTCTTGGACAACTGTGTGGACTGACTAGTGTCCCCCTGCTTTAGGAGTCTGTGGGGCTCCTGCGAGTGGGGAAGAACCTTAGGCTGCAGGCCCCCGCATGTCCAGGCTTGAGAGCCCAGGTACCTCTAAAATGGGCAAACGGGGGTGCTTGGATGTGACCCCACCTGACAGTGTTTCACGTGGGATTGACACAGCTCTAATCGCCTAGAACACCCTGTGATCTTGGAAGCGCCACTGCTTCTGCAGTTCCAGGCTGACTGTAGGACCACGGGGTGGGGCTGGGGGTGACAGTATAAGTGGGTAAAAGCAGAGCCTCAGTGGTGCTTTTAATTAACTGTTGATTTTTTTTAAAAAAGAACACACTGCCTAAAACCTGAAAATGCGATCACATTTTGTAAAAATTTTTTTTTACATTCAGCACGTGGGACTTTAGTTTCCCCGACCAGGGATCAAACCTGGGCCCCTTGCAGTGGAAGCATGGAGTTTTAACCACTGGACCACCAGGGAAGTCCCACATTTTGGAAACTTTCTAGTGAAATATCAGAGTAAAACTTTGGGAAGATGTCACACTCCATTTAGAAGTTCCACATCTCACTCACCTGGCAATTTCTAAGGTCAAAAACTTACAATTTTATAGCTTATGAAACTCAGTGAATAGGCAAAGGTGCACACGGTGTGCATGGGTGCAACTCTCTGAACCAGCTTACTTAAGGTTACTTTAAAAGAATAAACTGGATGACTGTTCAGAGGGCCCACCGCCAGAAAGAAATGTGGCAGAGGCCATGAACTGTGGCTCTGGGAAGGAGCAGTCCTCTGGCGGCAGGAATTCCAAGGCCTGAGCTGCCTGTTTGGGGCTTCCCGGGCAGATGTGTGGACACGCCCCCTCCCCCCCCACATGGCGACAATCTGGCTGCCCAGCTGAATGGGGCAGGCCTGACCTCTGACCTTGCAAGTGACCACCCTCTCCCCTGCCCCCAGCTTCCAGAACACGCCCCACCCACTGCCTTCCTCTCCCAAAATTTCTAAAATACCAGCGGAGACAAAGACCTAGGAATGTGAGCCCAGCAGGAGAGGAATGGGGGTGGGGGGGGGGCAGGGGTTGGAGGAAATAAATAAATAAATAAATAAAAATACCAAGCAGGCAGGTTCACCTTAGCCAGGGCTTAAATAAAGTGCTCTGTTAATGAACAAGAATGTTCTACATTTTATATTACTGATACATGTGATCCAACAAGGAACACACACACACACACACACACACACACACACACACACACTCTCTCTCTCTCTCTCTCTCTCTCTCTCTCTCACTCACTCACTCACGTTGGAGCACCAGGTTAAAATACAACCATCCACATCAGTGAGAAGTGTAAACAGAAAAGTATGGAGGGGGCCTCTCATTGTCAAGATCCCCCAACTGAGATAATAAATATTAACTGCTATAAACTTACTTTTTGAGGTTTCTTTGACATCCCTTAAAATGACTGGGGACATGCGGCCTCCCACAAACTCAGGCCTAGACACAAGGAGGTCTCCACCCACCACTACAGACACGAAGGGGAGGTGGGCTGGTGACAACCAGAAGCCTTATCTGTATGTAACACTCGGCAGGCTCTCCTATTAAAAAATGGTAAACCAAATTCAATGAGTAAAGTCCAGCCACGCAACTAAGTCTATCCAACAACACCAAAACCAAGCTTTACTTGATTTAGGGAAAATACATTGAATGCCAGTGTTCTCAAACTCGCAGAAGCCCTCCTACATCTCTGGCCAGAGCTGTGGTCTTGGGGGGCCTGCGAAGAGGTGAAAGAAAGGAATCTGGACCCTCCTTCTTACACAATCACCACCAGCTCAAGACAGCAGAGTCCAGCTGTGGACAAGTTACTTCTTTCTGGGGGAAAGGAGTCGGAAACTTTTTAAGACAAGTTAGGGAACACATATGCATTTTTGATGCAAGAAGATACACAGGTGCAAGTCGTTTTTTAAAAATCTGCCCCAGGGACTTCCCTGGTGGCACAGTGGTCAAGAATCCGCCTGCCAATGCAGGGGACACAGGTTCTATCCCTGGTCCAGAAAGATCCCACATGCCTTGGAGCAACTAAGCCCGTGCGCCACAACTACTGAGCCCAGGTGCTGCAACTACTGAAGCCCCTGTGCCTAGAGCCCATGCTCCGCAACAAGAGAGGCTACGGCAATGAGAAGCCTGCGGAAGAGTAGCCCCCACTCGCTGCAACTAGACAAAGACCGCGTGCAGCAACGAACACCCAACGCAGCCATAAATAAATTTTAAAAAAATCTGACCCTATTTTTCGGTTGTTTCTACTTTTTTACATAATCATCCAAAAATATGCTATATTCTATGCATAGGTGAACTTTTTAAAGACACAAATAGGAGAGCATTATACTAGACCTTTTCACTTAATTATATTAACTGGGAGAATGTTTTGAGTTGGGCTGCCTGTTTTATGAATGGCTGCATGGTATGTCGCCTGCAGATGATAGGATTTTAGTGTCGTTTCCTGATTTTTGAAAACTCACAAGCAATGCCACAGTGAATATCCTTTTATATTGTTCTTTACAAAGCCCAGAATTGTCAATCTGATAATATATTCAACTGCTACATCATTTGACAAATCAGAAGAAAAAAATCTACTTGCATGTGTGGACAGTAAGGCTTCTCAAATTTAATAACTTGATGTCAGGTCAACCTCCATTCATGTGAAGAACAAAGGTTGTCAAGTGCCAATTTCTGTTCCCAAACAAGATCAGACCTACACGAAAGGCCGGCATGGGGACACCAGGGAGCCGGGCAATGTGGGACTGGGAGTCCAGGTCCACTCTGCTTGGCTGGAAGGTGGAAGGTGGAGGCTGAGACTGAAAAGAAGCCCCAGAGGAGCAGCAAGAAAGCAAGGCTTGTGTTTTGTGTGCTCGGGATTGGCTGCTAGATTTTCCAAAACACAAGGGTAGAGGCGAGTGGG